GGACCGATTGCGACAAATGACAGTCCGCCAGAAGATAGTGTCGGAGCGTTTGTTGGACCAGCCGAACCAGGGACCCTTCGCAGACGTCGGAACCGGAGTAACAGATTCCGCAGCCACGGGGATAAAGCAAAATGAAAAAAAAAAAAAAAAAAAAAATCTAACAAAATTATCTTGGCCACAACTTTGGAGTGTTTCTTTCAAACTGAAATCAGCTACACGCATTTACGTAATGCATGGAGGAGGAGGGGAATTGTAACGGCTAGTGAGCCGGTAATTACCCTGTGGCACATGATGTTAATCACGTGCTTCACAACTTTACGAAACCACTATTCTATCATAGATTAATCTGGACATCACTAGAAATTTCTAGCAACTAGTAGTAAGACTGCAAACCAGCCTCAGGGGAAAATACTAGAAACTGGTATTAGTCAAGAATATTCTAGATAGAATAGTAAGCGAATAAATAGTTGAAGTTGGACGTACATAGATAGCCATAGAGAAAATAATAAACAACCTTCGTATATTTGATCGCCCCAGCATCTATACCTCGAACCGTGACACAAGTACAGTATTAACGTGGTCTCGATGCGTTAGAAGGTCGTCAGAATAAATTAAGATATTTTCAATATATGCAGTGCAGAAAACATCAAGGTATGGTCGCAAGACGTTGTTGATGTGAGCTTGAAAAGTGGCTGGTGCGTTTGATAAGCCAAACAGCATTACTAGTGTTTCGAATAGACCATATCATGTGTTAAATGCTGTCATCTATTCCTGGCCCTCGGCGATTTTAATATGATTAAATGCCGCAATAATATCTAGCTTTGTATAGTATTTGGCATTACTAAGTCTAGCAAGGTTTTCTTGTATTAAGGGGAGGGAATATCTATTTTTAATGGTTATAGCATTTAATCCACGGTAATCAACGCAAAATCTTAAACCACCTCCAGGTTTCTTGGCAAAGAGTACTGGTGCTGCTGCTGGTGACTTGCTAGTACAAATGAAACCTTTATCTAGTTGTTCATCAAGATATTTGCGTAGCACTTTCAGTTCATTGATAGACATATTATATAGAGGACCATGGGGGGGGGCACTGTGCCTGGCTTAAGATCAATTTTGTGGTCACAGTGCCGATGTGGAGGAAGGGAGTCAGTACCTTTGTGACTAAAAACAGGTAGATGGTGGTGGTAGTGAAGTGGAAGTTTTCTTGCAGGATTGGGTCGTTCTTTTGTCTAGAGGGCGATCTGAATATCTTCAAGTGAAAATCCTGCTAAATTTAACTCCGCAGCTTTGGAGCAAGAGTTAGACTTCGCTTTTAGAATTTCACTTGACACGTATTTTTCCAGAAACGTTTTTTGATTAGGTGGGGAAGTTGGAGGAGGCATTGGCGCTGAGCCAGCAGGCTCGTTCCCCATTTCTTTTAACCTGCTATCAACTTTGTTTAGAGATAGAGAAAATACCTTGACACCGTTTAACTTTGAGAGGGCATGAAAAGCTGCAGCTCCAACTTTCCTCGGGCGCCCACTTTTGATTATGTTGTATTTGGATGGTGGATTGTGAGCTCTAAATTTAACAATTGATCTACTTATTTGTTTAATACCGGCTGGGAGGCAGTTTTCTTTGCAATAATCTGAACTAAAAGAAACACAATCAGTTGACCAATTAATCGAGGGGTTGTGTCTCCTGAGCCACTTTCGTCCGTGGATCAGCTCGTATTTTCCCAAATTTGTGATAAAAAAGGTTGATAATTCCTCATGGCCTTTGATGTTTAATTTAATAGTAGTTGAATGGGTTATTTTAGCTGCAGGCAAACCATCCACGAGATAGAGTTGACGAGGCTGTGGAAGAATTTTCAGTGGGAGGTTTCGTCTTTTTGCTGAGTTAAAATCGTAAAATTTGTCAGTGGCACCACAGTCAAGGAATGCCTGAGTGGAGAAGCTGAATTTGTTTCCAAAAACACTACAGGAAAGCAGAAGGTGGTCGCTGTGGGGTGCTGAAAGAGACAAAATTTGTATCCTTTCTTCACTGTCATTAATGGAAACTTGTTTTTTCTCTGATATGTCTGCCCCATTTTCTTTCTCCTGATCGGAAATTCTATTATCTTTGTACCTTCTCATATTCTGATTCAAGTGAGCTTTGGGGCAAATTCGAGCGTAATGGCTAGGGTCAAAGCACCGGCTTCAATTTTTATTTTCAAAGCAGTATTTACCCCTGGCTCCTCTTTCATTATTATTTCGTGGGATTCGGTAATTTGCAGTGTCAGTTGGGGATCGAGTGACAAATGGAGTGGTTTTAGATATGCTCGGGTTTGTCAATTCTCTCGACGATGTAGATAGGACATTACGGAATTTTGTATAATCTGGATCAGATGAGCGAAGAACAGCATCAATGTGGCGAACTTCGATTAAATACAATGAGAGGTCTGTCGGTAATTCTTGGCGCAACATTACACGATTTTGGAGATGAGACACAATAGTGGGGTGGAGAGAATTGTATAGATGGTTTATTAAGGCGTCATCAGAAAGCTCCGATTTTTGAGCAACTTCATTCCAGTCAATAAGGTGAGAGGCAGTGTCTTTCTGTCCTTGTTTAATGGTCAGTATTTTCCTACGAGCTGCATTACATGGTTCAATCTCCCCAAATGGTTGTTCAAGGAGGACAAAAATAGCATCAACAGGTTTGTATTTGACAGAACCATTTCTGTTTATACCATGAGAAATGGTATAAACAGGCTCTTCCCTTGAGGCGAGAGATTAGATAAAGTATCTTAGTATTTTCAGACAGGTACCAGTCCTTGTTTGCAATAAACTTCATATTTATTTTCGGGATAAATTGAGGAAGTTCTTTGCGCATATCAATGTTATCTGCAGAGAAGACATCTGGGTCAGGGTGTTGAGCAGAGCGGTAGATACAATGTGTGGAAATATTTCTCTCAGTAGTAGCTGCTTTTGTCTTTAGATCAGAGACTACATCAGATAATTCACAATTCTTTTTAGGCAATGTGTCATAGTCATTCTTATAATGGCGGAGTTCATTTTCCAATTTTCTGAATGAGCTTGCTAGGGAAACAATTTCATTACTGAGTAAAATAGGACTAACTACAGCGTTATGTCCCTGCATGGCGTTGAGTAAATATTCTTGGTTTATGATGGAGTTGAGGAGAGGGTACATGTGAACGAAGTCTTTATTCTCGTTGTTGAATTGAAGGGTGTGGTTGCCGTTAGGTAGGTCATGATATCGAAAACTTCTATCCATTCTATTATTGATTTCATATATTTTACTTTGGGTGCATCTCTGTCATATGTTGCAGAAAATTTAATACAAATTACACTTTTGGTACTATTTGAATTTGAATCAATTTGTCAGTATGGGTATAGGATTTACGCGCGAGGGACGTAATTCAAGGTCATTTGGTAGACAATATGTCAGGGGAAGGTCATGAAGTAGATTGACAAGGTCTAATGTGGTGATTGAGATTGTCTACAAAGAAGTAAAGATACTCCTATTGAGTCTTATAAAAATATATACATCGTGAATCACGTATCAGACGCGTTATATCACGTGACAGTAACTTCCCTCAATTCACTCTATCCCTTGACAGTTTTGGTGCCCGGAACCTCAACTATGTCTTAAATGCAAGTTATAATTTTCTCGGATCTATTAATGATACATATATTTAGCTTTATATTCCTGGCCCATATATGTGTATGTACATGGATCTACATCTACATGGATCATGACTTACAATCCATGGAGAGTGATAAATACTGGTCAAAAACCACAGTTGATAAGATATGCAAACATGCAATCTCACTCTAATCATCTCGGTTTTACTCAGAACCATAAATCTCAATATAATTGTTTCCACTCAAATCTTCCTTCCACAACCTCATGTAAGACTTAATGCATAGTTCTAACCGTCAATACTGATTCTGCTGTAACCTCCATTTTTGCTTAAGCTCATAACTTTAACACTCTTGACCTCTTGACCCCTTGTCACTTTGACAATGTACACAACTACATTCATACATCTCTCCTGAAACCAGCTCCTAATAATCATATAACTGGCTAAGTAAACGCACTACTGCCTCCTATTGATATCAGTTTGTCAAGTGAATTGGTTTGGGAAACCAGTAAAACTGTCAAATCAAACAGGAAAGAAGCAATTTCTTTACTTGATAAAATGGAGAATAAAAGATAAACAGAAAGTCGCTTGGAAACCACTGCAAAATATAGAGACAGCAAATATGTCTATAAAAACTCTTCATTTGCAAAAGAAGAATAAATAGAAACTATATAGGGTGGAGATCTCAAGGAGCAGTGTTATTAGTATTCCGTAGGGTACGAATTTGGTACAAGTAGGTTACAGGTGTGGAGTATGGTGGTGATTCCTAAGAGTAGGAGGTGTAAATTCAGCGTTAGGTATAGGGTTCACGTAAGAAGTAAAGGTAAAATAAGTAGTAGGTGAGAAGGGTACAATAACGGCGGTCTTCTTTAGAGAAGAGATAAGTAAGTGAACAATAGGTATGAGTATAAACAGAAGACGTTGCGTGAAGAAGAATACTCCTTCACGCTGGGTATATATGTACATCAGATAATAGGACAGCCCTAAGCTCTGTCTCGAACAGTATTACTACGCATTCCCTATGAAACTACCCTATGTTCCTGAGCCTGTCCTAATTGTTTGAGAACTTGATCTAACCCCGAGTTGTGTTTTAGAATGGAACTCTCCATGAGACACCATCCTAGTTTCCGCCACGTTTATCCATGAAAGGAGATGAGAAATGCTAAACAAGAATAAAGTAAAAATTATTAAAATAAAAAGAAATAGAAAATAAGAGACATTCTAATTTCAAGAAGTTTAAAAAGCAATGATGTTAGTATTGAATATATTTTTATAAAGATTTTTAAAGCACAAATTTTCCCCTCCTTGTAGTCAAATTAACCTCTTAATTACCATGTATTGGCCTTGACTGCACCTGGTACTTTTATAATTACCTTGATCACTCAACAGGATATTGACAGATTGTTTTGCCATCTCTTGAAGTAACAACTACGTAATTCAGATCTCCATTATTATCAGTTGTGACAAAATAGTTATTCCCTACGTGTAATTTATTAGCAAGTGGTCTTTAAAAGCTCTAAATTCTCACTCACCATTTTGGCTATCTATATATGGAACTCTTATAGGAATTACATAGGGTTTTTGTAAACTTTTGGATAGTCTTCTGCTTTCACTATCTGGAGACTCTAGTTTTCTACCACTTGATTTTATTTCATTGATGCAAGCTATGATGTCTGACATTGGGTCGCTCATTTTAGATGGACCACTTGGGGACCTTGGAACTAGCAAAGCTGCAGAAATTGATATTGCTTGACTTAACAGCACAGTCATTCCAGTAAGTTGTAGAAATTTCATTCTGTTTAAGCCTAGAATTATTTTATTACAAATATAGATTTTCTCTCTGTCCACTAACCCGTTGTTTTGCCCAGAACTTATCTATATAACGTGCTGTAGTGGAATAAAATCTTACCTCACTAAAATTGATACTCAGATAAAGCTAGTTTCTTGTGAATTGAAGGTAAGGAAGCGGGAGAAATGGATGACTTTATAGGTGAGATTGGCGTGCTACTTCTACTAGGAGTGATATTACTATGACCAAAACTAAAATGATGGATTATGAGCTTAATCCAATTTCCAGCTAGCCATGCCTAATGGGCATCATTTAAATAGAGTTAAGTAATAATTTTACACCAATCCTTAATTAATGATGAGGAAGTTTCAGTCTAATTAAAAATTGTGGAATATTAATGCAAGTGTGGAATTAAGAGTATACTTCATATCAGCCATTAATTCAGCTGGGTGTGGATAATTGCTCTCGAAATAACTTTCTTTCCAATAAGATTATGTGTATTTATTGTTATTATAAAATATGTGATATATATTTTACAGTTAAAGAAAGTGTGGAATATCAAGCGAGGCATTTGATACAAGTACAGAGTTATCAAATGACTTACAACAAAAATGATCCACGATTTTGCAGTGTTAAATTAATTGGTGTCAGGAGCACCATATTCTTATCAAGTAATTGTTGGAATGGAAGTTGAATAGAGAAGCATAAGCTGTTAGGCTTGTATTTAATTTCACCTAGTGAAGCGAGTTGGGAGATTGAAGAGTCTTAAAAACTATAGCAGAGAGTTTTTGATTAAACCGACATAGTATCAAAGTGCTATTTAAACTAATTACTACAGCTAAGCGAAGGATACGATCCACTAGCTTATGCTAGATAATTGGGAGGCTGGTCAATGTATGAGCCTTCATGAACATCCTAGTAATATTCGAACCTTGTTACATTCCATGTTAATGCAACTCTTCATTGCCAAGTGGCGCCAATTTCAACAGTATTATGTATTCAGCCATCTATCTATTTGTTGAAAATGGAGATAGAGTGTTTTAGACTTATTGGTCCTTCATTTTTGCCCAAGTTCCTGACACAGTTTTGTATGTGGTTAAGAGTTTGGAATTAGCAATAGGGTAGCGCTTTAGGGTAGCTAAAGGATACATGAGCAGCTCTATGGTGTTGGCACAATGAGGCTATTTTCACTTGACATGATATAGACAAGATAGATAAGATAGAATGTGGGCAAGATACAGAAATCTAACAAAACATTGCATGCTGTAACGGCTGGTGAACCAACAGTAAACCCTGTAACCTACGGTGGCCAACACAGGCACCCTTTCTATCTGCTGGGACGTCAGGTAATGGAAAACTCACTCTACTGCTCGGACAGCTAGCAAACACTCGGAAAGTTACGGGGAGGGTTGCCTCGAGCATGGCAAAACTGATTGAAAGGTAGCCGAGTGGTAAGGCGAGTGTCGGGAGTTAACACCATTGCAGGAATCTAAACTCCCCATAGGTACACCTGTCTGCTCTTAGGAATAGATGCGGGACATGCATTGGAGGAGAGCACAGTTATAAATAAGCCCTTCTTGTACATACATATTCACTCCTTAGAAGAATTGCAAACTATTGATTGTGCATCCCAAGCCAACTTGAGGACTTCCCCCGACTGTCACATATGCCTTCTAATCACGTGGACTAGGACTGATTTGAAGGTATCCTTGGACTAGCTCGATGCTAGTCTCAATAATGACACTAGCCCTCTTTGCTGGAAATATAGACTTAGTATGTATAAAGATTTAGATTTATAGGTATACTGTAAGGATTACTCTTCCGATCCTTTCTTCAGGATATAATTTTACCTTTCTTCATGTGTTGCTATGACAACAGGACAGTTATTGGCACATGGTATCATGTTGATATTATGCTAAGGTCTATGTTATGATGAGCTAGTGGAAGGAGATTTCATGGATCATTGTGGCATAGCGAATTATGAAACGCCATGCGGACGGCTAAGTTAAAACACAAATAATAGTCCAATGCACTTCTAAAACCAGCAAGGAAGACTGATAAGAATGGGCTAGTTTCATTAGGTGATGTGTAGCAGATTGTTGGGCATAGGGGCTGTGTGCTACGTGCTATTTGGTAATAATATATATAAATACTCGGCGTAAAGAAGCATTATTCTTCACGCAACGTCTTCTTCAATTACCTTAACAATACATTTGTTTACCCATCTCTTCTTTGAGAAGACCATTTATCTCTTTCTAGCTCTTCATCAGCAAGACCCACGTGTAGCCTCTATTGCTACTATCTACCTATTTGTCTCTTGCTAGAGAAGACCAGTCATCCCTTCGACCCACTCATCACCTTCGTCTACCACCTAGATCTTCGTTAGATCACATACGCACCCTGTGGAACACTGTCCTAACCTCGCCTTGAGAGGAGGGCAGGTATATATACCATGGTCTGATCTGTAGGCATAGAGTTCTTTACGCTTAGTCTTCTGTCACAACCACCACCTTCGGATCACCTCTGGTCACCTCTAGTTACTTTTAGCTCCTTTAGTCACCACTAGTATTTGCTCGTACCTTAAGACTCTTTAGACACTTATATTATCCATTTTTAAACCTTTATTTCTCCAAATTATCTCCAGTAGATCTTTAGTCATCCATCACGATCCATCCGACCTCTTCTCGCCCTTCTATTCCGCTTCAGGTCATACACCTACGCCCCAATTTGACATATGCTCATCAAGGTCTGTCACAGACCGGCTTTACCACGAGCAAAATGACCTGCTTGTTACTACCATTGTGCCATAGGCTCATACTGAGATGCTGCGTTACGTGACTACCGGAGGGGAGCACAGGTTAAAGATGACCAAGTCGAAACAAGTAAACACTCAATTCAGGAATATAGCTCATAAGATTCTAAACTAGGAGAAGAAGCTAACAAGAGGTATCTAGAGATATACATATATATATATATATATATATAATATATGTTGTGCTCAGCTTGGGTAGCCCTGTTTTACTTAGTATATGAAATGGGGAACGTACACTTGCGTTTGTCGGCTAAGATATGATGTTTTATTGAGTGTGAATTGTAGATGACTCTATGGATATATATTCTAATTTATAGTGGGAAATACTCCCCTTTTATACACCATGGACTCGCTTACCAGCGAATCATATGCCCATCATGCTTACTCATGTAGTGTGCCTTGCCTGAACAAATGTGCCAAACATGTCATGTGAGTTGTCCATGCCTGAGGTACCTTGATGACACACTGTCACAGTTTCATTACAAAATGCATGAGCAATGTTGTAGGTACAATATTTTAATTATAATTCTCTTGTCACAGTCTAAGCATAGGCACTTGAGCAACCTTATGGTCAGAGGTAGTTTATTTTCAATCTATGGTGAACTACAGATTGAAGAGGAGAATAACTGTTACTTTATACATGATTATTATCCAGGCCAATGACACAGTTTTCTATCCGTATATCCGTATACCTTCTCGTATCCCTTCTCGTGCCCTATTCTTGGAGGTGTTTGCCAAGTTGTAAGACCCTGCTTCCAAGAATAGTCCCTGCCTAGTTTCATGCTAAGCCTGCGTTAGACAGCGCAGGCTACAGGCAATTACCGGCTTACAAGCCGTCACATCTCTGAAGAGAGAATTTCTGTACTTATTGACTACCTATATATACAGACTGAAATACCTCTCCTCAATAAGGTTCTCTCTATGACCTGTCAACTCAGACTCTCCGAAAATTGCCTGTAGATTCTTGATACTTCTGTACCCCTCATGAACTCTCAGTAGGTTTCAACAAGGCTCAATGTGAATCATCTAGGTTCCCTGTCATCCAAGATCTTCCCAGGAACCTCCCTTCGTATAATTGCCTGCGCTAGACAGCGTAGGCTACAGGAACCCTTAGGCTTAACAGCCGTCACACACACTCATCCTCTATGCGCTACCTGCCAGGGCTACCTTAGCTGAGCACAACAAGCCCCGGCGGGTAGCGCATGGAAGGGCGTCTACTTTTGTCACCTTAGACGTACAAGGTGCGTTTGATGCAGCTCTTAATAACCGCCTGGTGTTACAGGATCTAGTGCACAAACTCCTGCCGTTCACTGTGTGTAGCCCAAGTATAATGATGACCTTAGGGACCACTTAGTCATACCTCTGTAAAAATGTCTTTCCTTTCCATGTGCTTTTATTCCGTGCTGTAGTTATTCATGCATTATCATTACTTCAGGAAATCTGAATAAACTTTGTATATTTCGTTCGATTGATTAGATCACGACCACAATCCGTGACATATTCTGATTTCCTATATCTCTCACATCCTCAAATAGCCACGCCTGCGACGTCTCGCATCAACGGTCACAATCTCAGGATATTTCTTTCCTGAATTCAACTCATGAGCCTTGAAGACCTTGTATCAGCTCTGCAGGAATTTCAGCTTGCTGCACGTCAGCCGGCACCCTAGCTGGCCCCAGCATTGTCATCCCACTCATTGACTTCTGAGATATCGAGTACCACTACTAACAGTCAAAACCCAGACCTCTTTGGCCCATCATCCAATGGCCAAAATGGTCGGGAAATCCCTCAGACTTTCCTGCCTTTCTTATAAGCCTCGAAGGAGCTGCAGAAGAGTATCCAAATGACAGATCATTTTGTTATTCAGTTTTCTCCCAATCTCTTCCCGCTGAAGCTCGGCGTCGTGTAGCACCTTGGATAAGAGCTCAGAAAATGACAGACAAATGGGGTAGAGACGAATTTATATCCCACCTCGAGGACTTATTTATTGATAGGGACGCAACAAATAGAGCTCAGACTAAAATCAATGCTCTTCGCCAAGGACCACAGCAAACTTTTGCCAAATTCAGATCAATTTTCGAGCGGCTCTGCTCTGAGGCAGATAACCTTGCTCCGACTGGTGCCTCGAAAGTAAATGCCATGAAGTGTGCGCTGGCTTCGCACCTTCGACAAGGGATAGCATACCACCAACAG